CACATGCTGCATAGTAGTTGTGTGACAACATCTGACTACACATCTAGATGTGTATAAGAGACAGGAGAGAGAGAGAGAGAGAGAGAGCAGTTTGGTGGTGTAATTGTTCCCCCGAGGACATAGTTCTGCTCATGAAAGTGTTTGGGGCTGATATGGAAGAAAGGCTCCTCTGTGCACTGCGTAAAAGAGGAGGAGGTAGCACCGATATTCAGTACATACTGCACACTGGGCTCCTCCAGTCAGTTTTTCGTTTTTATTGTTGGACTCTTCAGCACTGCAGAGTTGTGCAAATTTCGTATGGGACATCCGTTAAAATTGGAGTGATGCAGAGAAAATTAGCATGGTCCCTGCGCAAGGATGACGCACATAAATTGAGAAATGGTCCAAAAAGCTGCATAAAAGAGGAAGAACGGGGGGGGCACACTTACTGTGATAGTTTGCTCGCAAAGTTTTGTCGCAGATCAGTTGTATAGATATGTATTACTAAAGCTCACAATAGTCTTATGATATGTCACTACTCGTTTGGGCAGTAGACCTTTGTTTTCCCAGTTCTTTTTTGCTTGCATCGCCATGCAATGTGTAGGTAAAGTTCCTGTTATATACATTGTAAGCGGTTGATGAACGCGGCCGAAGGGAAGCCATCCACCAATGATGAGTGGATCCTCCGTCCAGCTTCGGAAAGGATGACACAATGGTGGGATAAACACACTTTGCTGATTGGACACGCCCTTGTGATTAACAACGGTATACTTGCATCCCTATGGTACAAGTCGCGTTGTGGTCCCTCAGCAAGGAGGCGGTGAAGTCCCTCCTCCGTAGGCAGATTGCAGCATTCTGATGGCGGCGGGACCATGAATGTGGAAAGGTTATCTACCAGGTAGCCTGGACGTCCCTCATACAGCCAAAGGATAAAGGGGGCCTGGGACTGCTGGACCCTAGCATCCAGACCACAGCATTGTCCATCCAATGGATGCGGAGATCGCTCTTCCCGCCACAACTCCCGTGGGAGGCTCTGGTGCTGGAGCAGATTGCCAGGCTGGCCCCACAGGCCCCTCTTACGTGGGTCGAAGACCGCTACTGGGCACTACCCAAAAAATCTAATTGGGACAGGGCCAGAGAGCGGGGAAGTTCGAGGGAAGACCTCACCAAAGACTCCTTTTGCACCAACCTCATTAAGAACTGGAGACAGCTGCCGCTCCTGGACAGAACAGCACCTGAAAGATGGGACGAGGTCATGCTCCAACCCCTCTTTGGAAACTGCTGGGTCATGTCCAACCCCTCTTGGGAAACTGCTGGGTCATGGACAACGATAGCCGGGTTTTTCTGCAGCTTGGACCCCCTTTGGCGCAGGTGGGTCAAAAGAGGTGTCGTGAGGGTTAGAGATCTGTGGGACATGGAACAGGGGGATTGGAAGTCTGCAAGATGACTGAAGGCAACGCTTAAACATTGCCACAGAGTCGGGGACAAATTAAGAGCAACTCATCTCTTTTCTATACCTATAGAGTGGGTACGCATCCTTAGGAAGGGACCGACGCTGAGAGAAGGGGAGGGAAGGAGAGGTGCTACTCAACCTCATCCGTAGGCAGACAGATAATACCTTGACACGCTTCACTCTGGATGCGGTGGAATGGCTGAGCAGGGACAGGATCTACCGCATCCGTGTCTTGGGAGGAGGCGGCACGGAGAGCATTCCATCCGGACATCCCCCTACAGGTACTCCCTTTTGGCTCGGTGGAGTGGCAGTACCACCCCGCACCCCTGGACACGAAGCAAGCCTGAGAAACTGAGCACATAACCGGCGAAAGCAACCTACAGGATGCTACTACTACCCGCAGTGGACTTGAGAGCTAAGATTGAGCAGCGATGGATTACAGAACTAACTGGTTCGCAGAGACCTGCTCCGGGACTGCCAAAATTGTGTCCTTGCAGTGGAAGATCGAGCGCAGGTGCCTCC